TGTGTATGTGTGATGTGGAAGTTCTGGTTGATGATCTTGCCTTCTTCCAAATAGCGAAGACTCTCAACTTCATTGAATGTGACGTGGAGGTTAGTCTTCAACCGTTCAGTTTGTGATCCAAAATACTTCATTGTTTGATCTCAGTAAAATATTTGTTGGTCATATTAAAATAAATTATGGATCATCCTCACTCACTGACGTAATATCTAAATATTGCTGACGATGGTTAGTTTGGAATGTTAATGCATTGTTTTAAAGTTATGGATCATCCTCACGTACTGATGTAATTTCTGTGATTTTGTGATGGAGGCATGGTGGTGAAGATTATAATTGAAATGGTTTGAATGAAGCTTGAAGGATCATACAAAAGAATTGGTATTCTCATTGAAGATCCTGAAGAACCAAAAGAATCCATAGACCTAAGGATGAATATCAATTTATATGTTTTCCCTTCGCATGGAACTGCTGCTTGGGTTCAGTGGGAATATATGTAGCAAATTGGACTTGGAAGAAAAGGCAAGTTTTACAGCTTTTAGGGTGCTGTGTAGTAATTGAGCCTTTTCTATTGTCTTTTTGTTGTTCATTTAATTGTTTTATCAGCCAAAGTATTAAATAACTCAGAAATGGTCTATGTTGTTATTTTGGTGCTTATTGCCAAAATAGGAATACAAAAAACAGATTTGCGTTAATCGTAGGCTTCTTGGTATATAACTGTTATTACCTCTTGATAAATTAAGACATAAATTTACTAGACAGAACATATATATATATATATAACTTTATTTTTCCAAGTAATTTGTGACTTATTTGTTTGTTTATTTTTGCAGAATTGGATAATAGATTACTGGCTCCGTTTGATGCAGCGTCGTGGAAAAGAGATTTGTCCACATGTATGAATGTGCCAGAATTTTGTCACAGGAAATTAAGCTTTGTTCTGCATACTTGTATGTTTCAGTATCCTTTTCCCTCTCATTTTGATTTTATGCACTGACTTGCCAAGAATACGTATATATGAAAAGGATTGAGTTGTTTTGCCAAAACTGCATGCGAGGACAAATGACATACTCGTAGTCTTCATAGGTATCAGCCTGTATTATATTTATTAGAATATCATTTATTTCTTTGGTTTGACTAGATAAATTCAATAATAGATTCATTTCCAAGTCACTTAATGGAACTTTGATATCTTTTACCCGAACTGCTCTTTAATTCGTTCTTCAACTTCTTGTAGCTTGGTTTTGGATATTCTTGAGAGCCCTTCTTGAAGAAACAGGATTGTTTCTAGTAGCATTTGATCTCAAGGGTTCTGGAAGACAAATCTATTTTGGGTTCAAGGAGGTCTTAAGGTTGCTGAAGAAGAGGCATGTTTTGCAAGTTTAGTTTTATAGAATTTGTCTTTTGATTTGCTAGTAACGAGATGTGAAATACAGGGCTTATTTGGTAAGGTTTCTTTTTTCTTTTTCTTTTTTTTTTCTGTGGAGCAGGATTTTATTGTAAAGGGCCCTTTGCCTCTTAAATTTGCTGGAATTGATAGCATTTTAGAGTTCCTTAGATCTGTGACTATCGAATCTTATACTTGCCCTTATCTTCTGATAAATGTATTATAAGATGGTTGATTAAGTCTATTCGTTCAGATCTTTCTTGAGATTTTACTTTTAGATGAAACACATGTTCTAAACTTTTCAAATACAAACTATTAAAATTATCAATTTTTTTATTATAAATTTATGCTATATCAGAAATACCAATTTCAATGTTTGATAGTAAGAATTAAACCCTAAGCACTTTGAATATTGAAAAAAATTAAATTCTGAATATTCAAATTCTCAATTATTTTATTAGAACCTACAAAACCATTTTCCTAATGCCAGTTTCAATGCTTGATAAAAAAAAATCAAATCTCAATCACTTCGAATATTGAGGAGGATTAAATTATTGATTATCTCATTACAACTTGGAGAACCATTTTTTTGATATTCCACTATTAAATTTGTAATTGATTGATTTACCAAAAGTCTTTTATTATAGTGCCTCTTGAGAGATTGAAACATTCAAAATTAATTTTTTTAGAAGTTGTGTATTTGCACGTGATTGACAGAATATTTTATATGTGAATTATCAGCTTAATTAAATTACATTTAATGATGCAGTAAGAATTATTTTCCTATTCTCTCAAATATCCAAAAAGGAAAATAGTAAATAGAAGAACACTAAAAAATGTAACAATTTCACATCCATCTTTATCAATGATATTAATTATATTTATTTTAAATTTTTTTATTCTAACCCGTGCAACACATGGGAAAGAGTCTAGTTAGATTTTATATATAGTCATGTACTTGAAGAGTGTGAGTGTGACACAAAATAATATGGCTATGAATAACACTCACAGCCATTTCAATAGCTCTTTTTATTTAAAAATGTAAGACATTTTTAATCAAATTTATTATTTAATAAAGTAGTTATCTATTTTTAAACTAATCATTTTTTTTCATATTTATTCCTATTAAACACTCTATAATAAATATAAAGTTATTCATCGGGTACTTAAAAAAAAGATAATAGTTACACATCAAATGATTAAAAATGTCTCATATTTTTTAATATTTAACTCCTTAAAAAATGTCTTATAATTATGAACTGAGGGAGTATTTCTTTTGTTTCTATATTTCTCCAAACGTATGCATATGTTTATTTTTGTGAATAAAAATGGTTCGAGTCATACATTAGAGAAAAACCATCAATCATATACTCCATCGAGTCCAAAATACTAAAGAAAAATTTCTATTAATTAGTGTTGACTCATAATAGAGGACACTTTGCAAAATATTAATGGCATTCAATTTTTCTTTCCTACAAATATCCTTATTCATTGTATTGTAAAGAGATTATATAAGAAAAAAATAAAGATAATAAAGATAGATTGATTTTATTTGAAGGGTAATCTTAGAAAGTTCTGATAATATTTTTTTTTAACCATTTTATATACTACTCTTAACAACTTTTCATAATTCCTGTAAAATTGCTTAAAATGTCATATATTTTGAATTTAAGAAAATATGTATATATAAAAGTTGAAGAAAGTCATACTTTTCATTAAATTAGAAAAATAATCCATATACCCCAGATTTCATATATATATATATATATATATTCCTTCAATCCTATTTATAAATTATACTTGTTCTGATATTTTTTTATAAGTTATATTTTAAAATTTTATTGTTTTTTATGCCTTTTGATGCACAATTTCAACAATACCCTCCAGTAAATTCTCAAAAAAAAAAAATGTATTGTTTTAATTCCCAAGAGACCTCCTCAGTCCTCTCACATATCAAATTACTCCTTTTTTAAAATTTAGGGGTAAAATTGAAAAGTGGATTAGTTTTATGACAACTTTATTATTCTAACTAATTTACCTTGATTTGGCGAGTTAGGTAGAATTTAAAAGTGATTTATAAAAAACAATTAGAGAGAGTAAATTATTAATTAACTTTACCTAAAAATTTAATGAGTCATAAATTTTATTTCTATTAAATATATATATTTTAATAATATATTTTTTGTCTTTACTATTTAGTAGGAGTAAAAAAAATTTATAATAAAAATTTAATAATATATTTTATAAATAAGGAATTTTTTTCCTGTTAGAATCGAAAAGAATATACAGGGCTAAAGTGATGAAAAAACGCATGATTCATCTCAATTGAAAAGAATAAAATATGAAACAGGAAAAATAGTTGAGCATTAAGATGCATAACAATCTCAACCTGTCCTGATGAATTACGTGTGGTGGATGGGGAAGCTGCATACAATTCCTATCTGCCAGTTGACTTGGCATCCTGTGATCCTCAAAATGGGCCTTCACAATTTTTTTTTTACTTTTTGATTAAGTGGGCCTTCACCAATTGATTATAACAGATACCTAACTTCTCAATTAATTTCTACCAAAAAGAAAAACTTCTCAATTAATGTTTTAAAACTTTTATGTTGATGAACAAGTCGTTTTGTGAAGAATACTCAATTAAGTAGCTCTCCCCAACATAATGTTAAATACTGAATCGGAAAAAAAAAAGTTATTCTGTAAATAACAAAATTTTCAATATATTACTCCCTTTATTCAAAAATATAAGGTATTTTTTAAGGAGTTGGATGTTCAAAAATGTAAAATATTTTTATTATTTTGAGATGTAATCATTATTCTTTTTCAAAAGTATCCTTATTAATGAATAAATTTATATTTATTGTAGGATATTTAATAAGAATAAATATGAAAAGATAGGATTAGTTTAAAAGTAGATAATTATTTTATTGAAGAGTAAGATTCTCTTAAAAATATCTTATATTTTTAAATAGAAGGAGAAATTATTTTATATGTTACTTAATTTCCAATAAATTTTAGTGTGCAAAGTGAGAGTGATGTTGGCTTTTGCTTTAACATGTGTGTGTGTCAGAGTTTTCACTGTATAAATTCAAAGTCTATTTGAACTTAGTCAATTTACCTTTTATGTAGTCTTCTTTCAAAATTTATACCCCACACACTTTCTCTCTTCTTGTTCTATTTTAAAAGTATTTTTTTAATATTTAATAGAAGTTAAATGAAAAAAATTTATGATAAAAATTTAATAAAATGAATTATAAATAAAAGATTTTTTTTTGGCGCAATAAATAAGATAAGAGTGTGTGTGTGTCTCAAGCTTAGAAGGTAAGTATAATGTCAAGTTTAGATTCAAACTCTCCCTGTATAATTAAAAATAATATATATATATATATATATATAACAGAAAAAAGATTATACTTAGGTGAGAAATCAATTTCAATATCAATCAATATAAAATTTAACATTTATAACAAGTATTCTAATTAAGACTATAATATAACACACGAGCTTACTAATTTTGAGTCTTTTTTTTTTAACATAAAAAAGGTTAAAAAATGAAAGTTGAATGTTTTTTTTTTTGGCCTCAATGCAAGTTGAATTAAAATATCAGAAAGTGAAGATGAGAGTGGCTCGTTATAATCCTGTGGCTTTAAAAAGGGAAAAACTGGTATTTGTTGCAGAACCAACTCGTCAAATTAATCCAAACCTCATACACAACCAAGAACACAGTGAGGACTTGAGATCCATGGATTACGAGTATATTCTGGGAGGAATCCTAGCTTCTGGTTTAGTGCTTGCGTTTCTTGTTGCATCAAAATTTGCAGAAAAGAGCAAGCTGGTCAAGAGTAGTTCATCATATGTACACGTGAAAACAAATGGTTTTGCAGTATCATCAAAAGATCCAGAGGTTGAAGACGATACTGATGTAATCATTGTGGGAGCTGGAGTTGCTGGTTCAGCTCTTGCTTATACACTTGGAAAGGTAGGATTAATGGCTGTGTTTTCACCAGAACTTTGTATAGATCTGTTCATATTCTGGATTTCATACTTCAAGTTTGTTCTCAATCACTCCAAGAGAAAAGAAAATTCTCGTATATGTTTTTCCTTCTTGTTTTCTCATCTATAATCAAACAAAGAAACAGTGGACATATTCTTGAAACCCATTATATTTCTTGACTTCTCTAATCTGATGGTTTTTACGGTTTAGATCCATGTGAAGCAGAAGGAAAGAAAAAGTTCTTGGTATTATATTTTACAATTTTCTTTATCATTTACTGCTCTTGTTCTAATTATAAGATACCATGTAAAAGTATTTCATGATAATTTATGGACATATAAGTCGCTTTAATTATAATAAAATGTTTGAAGCATTTAGAAACTTTTCTTTTGGTTTTGCCCTCCATTTGAAGTACTATTTTTGTCCTTATATATTTACCAAAAAAAAGTAAAATTGCACCTAAGTTCTACGGAAGAGAATATATTATTAAAAAGTTGCATGAAATTCATAAAATACTCCATAATATCAAATTTTGCGTATTTATAATTTAGCGAAGAATATTTACAACAGGGCAATGAGCATTTGAAAGTTATAGTAAATTTCATGAAAAATTTTGATAATTTAAGGAATTGTAAACAGTGAACATGGCATGGAAAACTATGCTAGTTTAGTGATATTTCTATTATTTGAATTTCTTCAACTTTTTTAATTCTATTGTATAAATATTCTATTTTTCCATGGTATTTTTTTTCCCATAAAAATTCTAGAAGGCATTCTTGCTAATAGTAGGAGCAATTGCAAATAAGGACTATATAATGAAATTTATTACAAATGTATTTCTGAAATTACTGTCAAGGCCTTGATCTTTTTTTGGGGAAATTTTTTTCTCATGAATAGGATTGAGGGAATTAATAGCTTAATTTTAATCCACATGAGACTTCTTATATCAATTTAAGTTCACTCATAATTAAATAATCTAATAATCTCGTTCTCAAGTATAAATCTATAAGCTCATCAAGTTTATGAGTTTTTCTTAATTATTATTTATTAAGTTCAATATATTTGATATGAGACTTATTACATAAATCCACACACTTGTAGAACCTAGCAAAAACTTCTGGAAAGCATTGACCTCTGGCTTACCAATTAATAATAATTGGGTTGTATGGCAAAGACACGTGAAATTTCTTTATCAGTGATTTTTCTTTGTTTCCTTTTTCAAAAGTTTCCGTAGATGGAAATGAAATTAATGGCCGACAAAAAATTCAAGAAAGATTGCTAAAGAATTATATCTAAGTGTGTGGTGGCATTTGCAGGACGGAAGGAGAGTTCATGTGATTGAAAGAGACTTGAAAGAACCTGACAGGATTGTGGGTGAATTGTTACAGCCTGGAGGCTACCTGAATTTACTTCAATTGGGTCTTCAGGGTAAGATTGTAAAATTCATATGTGATTAGCTTCAAGTAATTATTAAGTTATAAATATTGCATTAATAATTCAAAAATTATAATTAATTTTAATAGTCAAACTTGTTAAAAATTTGCAGGAATGTCATTACTGAATTATTTTTTGGTAAATGTCATTACTGAATTTTAATTAGGGAGAATGATATTAAAGGACCAAAAGATTGAATTAAATTTAAATAAACCAAAATATTTGAAAATACAAAAAAGGGTCAACGATCATTTAGTAAATTATAGTCTAAAAATATGATTTGTTTCTCTCATTTCATAATTTGCAATATTCAAAATAAGAATTTACAAGTGAAATTCACTCAATATTGTTAAAAAAAAAAACTTGTCAAACAAATTTTAGATTAATTCGGTCATTAAAAGAATTTTGGTCCTTATTTTAGATTTTCAAATCTTTTGATCCTTATTTAAATTTAATTGAATCTTTTGATCCTTTAAAGTCATTTCTCCTAAGACGATTTACAGTTTTAAGTAATTTTGACCTTGCCAAAAAAAAAAAAACGGATATATGCTATGGAAAAATTTTGTTGCAAACTGTTTTGTGGCAAATTCTGTAAAATTGATTCTGTCTCTAATTAAAGCAAAACTTGAATTATGTTGCAATATCATGTGTTATAAATTTTATCAAACCTAATTATTTTATTTGGTCTCAATGCTATTAATTAGGCTTTATCTGATGTCTCAATACAAATGTGATAAGAGCAGGGGCGCGAGCTAATAAATTATAAATGTCATTTTATTTCTGTGATTAACAAGTAATCAGGACTACATAGGTGTCAAAGTTGAAAGGAAAAATTGAAATGATAATAAATGGCATTTAATTAATTTGCAGATTGTGTGGATGAGATTGATTCTCAGATGGTGTTTGGGTACGCACTGTACAAAGATGGGAGAAGCACCAAAATCCCATATCCTTTGGACAAGTTTGAGTCTGATGTCTCCGGCAGAAGCTTTCACAATGGCCGTTTCATACAGAGAATGCGACAAAAAGCTTCGTCTCTTCCAACGTACGTATGTGTGTACTGTTCCGCCTCCATCATTTCCCATCACAATCAATGAACACACACACGTACACTTTGATTCAATTCCATTAATTAATTTAAGTTAACTTTTGAAATTTGACGATATGGTTGCTCTGTTCAACTACTCTGTTCATATTATAATATAAATTATTTTTTAAAAATTGTAATTGATCTAAAATATGAAGCATTGAATATGTGTGATGTAGTTTTTTCAATTACATTCTTATTTTATTAAGTAATTAATAAAAATATTTTTAAATAAGTCAAATGTCATATTTATTATTCTCAAAGGAACAATTAGACAGGTGAGAAAATTTTTAAAAATCCAAAATTTAACTAATTTTTTTTTGGAGATAAGTAAATTTATTAATAATAAGTTATATTGTGGTTTGGAGGAAGGAGTACATTCTATTAAGTATGCTATCTAAGTTGGTGGTATAATAAAAGGCATGCTCTGTAAGAAAATTTTATAACTTTCTAAAAATTCTATGCACAATTTTTTTTTTTCATATTTTAGTTTTCCATATCCATGTGACACAAATATACATACCCAAAGATTTGTCTGTAAATATATAAAGCACATAATCACATTATATAATTTATATAGCTAACCCTACCTATGTACTAGAATAAAACTTCTTGTTATTGTAATATTTTATTACTTATTTTAAAATGCTACAAGTACATTAATTATTTAGCTATTTTTCATTTTTTGAAAGATGTATCTCAATTATAATATTAATTTTTGAGGTAATTTAACTTTTATTCTCTAAAGCTTCTCTCACTTGTCAATTTAGTCCTTACTATTGACTTATGAAAAAATTCAGTGCTTGTAATTATTAAGTTAAGTAATTATAAGGACTGAGTTATTTTTATTCAAAAGTTTGGAATTAACTAAATTGATAATTTAAGGAAAGTTTAAGCACTAAAACTTATACGTTTGCTTAAATTTTGCAGTGTGAAACTAGAACAAGGAACAGTGACATCCCTTGTAGAAGAAAAAGGAACAATCAAAGGAGTACACTACAAAACAAAGAGTAGACAAGAGCTCATTTGCAAAGGCTCCCCTTACTATTGTTTGTGATGGCTGTTTCTCCAACTTGAGGCGTTCTCTTTGCAACCCTAAGTTATATATACATAATTCCTATACGTTGATATATTCTTTGATATTTATATCTCTATTCATATCCGTTTTTGAGGAAGAGTTAATATAACACAATATATATATAGTTATATATGATGTTTAATCTCTCATTTATTACATTTATTGGCTCTTTAATTTTTATCAATATCAAAATGCCCCATCTTATTTGTTTTGTAAATTTCTATGGATAATTCATAACTGTTCACACACACACACACACACACACGCACACATTACTTTATCAACTTTTTCGTCTGCTTTGACGAGGGTATTGAGTCGGTGGTCCCGGAGGATAACATAGTTTTTTAGTTCTTTACTTTCAAACCCCTTTGTGGTTAAAAGGGGGGAAATGTGTGTGGGTTGTTGTGTGATGTATGTTGGATGCGTGAAATGCATGTGTGGGATCCTCTACCCATGTATGCTTTTTTTTGCATTCCCTTATTTATCTCTAGTCTACTTGGAAGCCTTCCAATTAGAAATAGGAAATAAGCAAGTCAAGCTTATAGGCTTAGCCCGTAAGCCCAATTATTCTGAATTAATTATTTTTTAAAAAACTCAACTCTTATTTACAGGATTTAAAGTCAAGTTCATAAGAAATTTTAAAGAACAAACATATATTTTAAAATTTAAATTTAATTTTAAAATTAAAAAATATTTTATTTTTTAGGGGTAAAATAAAAACTAACAACCTAAGTTTGAGTTTATTTTTGGGGCTTATCAAAGCCAAGTTTCAATGCTCAATTTTTTTCTCTAAAAAATGCTGTTTTTTTTTAAATTTGAACTCTTATAAAAATGGGTTTAAACACCCACTAGGCCCAATCCTTATTTTCAATTTTACTTATAATCAAGAATTTGTTTCATAAAAAAGTGAAGTTATTATCAAATTTTGAGCAAATAAATTTACGGCAGTTCCCTACAATATTATAAATACAAAATTATATACCATTCGACAGTAGTTTTGGTTTTGAAAATTAATTACGATTTTTAAAATCTCATATTGATCAACTTCAATAATTTTTCAAATCATGTTCGTTTAATTTCTATCTAGCATTTTCCTCCTTTGTTACCAAACTTTGTTTTTTTTTTTTAATTTCGGTATAATTATTTAATTTTTAGTAGAATTACCTTGTCCAAATTAAAACACTTAGCTTTTTTAGCATAGTTTTTCCATATACTTAAGTTTCAAACCCTTGATTCGATTAATGGACGCAGGTTGATGTGCCGTCTCATTTTGTTGGTCTAGTGCTGGAGAACTGTGACCTTCCATATGCAAACCATGGGCATGTAATATTGGGCGATCCTTCTCCCATCTTATTCTATCCAATCAGTAGTACTGAGATTCGGTGTTTGGTCGACGTTCCCGGCCAAAAACTACCTTCCCTTGCTTCCGGTGACATGGCTCATTACTTGAAAACTGTAGTAGCTCCTCAGGTATATCATCAACTCTACACTATCAATTGCCTTCTCCTTTCCCAATTTTTTAATACCAACTAATTTTCAGAATTCACATTGGACCTCAACTAATCTAAATCAAGTCGGGATAATATAGGTGTAAAGCTCTCCCCAATTAAACGTGTGATAGTCTCACATCATGTGATTAGAGAATTAATCACAATTATATAACTGTATGGTGAATCGTGCTAAAGTACCTTATGTTATTTTTGTATAAGTGACAAACTTTAGTTTGTGATTAATGTGAAAAATTGATAAAAAAACGAAGAGAAGTAGTAGAAGAAGAAGAAACAACAAGAAGGAAAATATTAAATGTGTAATAATCTCACATTGTGTGATTAGAAAATTAATCACCAAGGTGTATAAGTGTGTGTTGAATCTTTCTAAAGTAGCTTAATTTATTTTAGTATAAATGATAAATCTTAATTTGTGATTAATGTAAAACTCTTGTATCCCAAACGAAAACTAAACTTGAAATCTTGCTTAATGAATTAAACTATAACAAGTGGTGTGGTGGACCATATTGAACTATGCGTTGTTGGTGTTGGCTTATTGCATTGTTTTTCTTTGGAATTCAGATTCCTCCGGAGTTGTATGATAAGTTCATAGAAGCGATAGAGAAAGGAAACATAAGAAGCATGCCAAACAAGAGCATGCCTGCGTCTCCTTATTCCACACCTGGTGCTCTTGTCATGGGAGATGCCTTCAACATGCGCCACCCTCTAACTGGTGGAGGCATGACCGTCGCCCTCTCCGACATCGTCGTTCTCAAGAATCTTCTCCGACCACTTCGTGTTCTCCACGACGCCTCAGCTCTCTGCAAATATCTCGAATCTTTCTACACCCTTCGCAAGGTGATCATCATTTGATGTTACTGTGAAAAAAACTTATAGAGAGCGCCCTTATCATGACATTTATATGTACATAATCACCCTAAAAGATAAAGACAAAATTTATGGGCGCTCCAAAAAATTGAACCTACCAGAGTGCTGTATTGCAAAATACTCTAATATATATGTTAGAAAATGTGATAGGTGTACTTCTCATTTCCCTTTTGAAAAACATTTTTTTACCTACTACACAATGCATTACTAGAGTGAAACTTCTGCTGCAGTATCAACTTTGAGAGATCTACCAATGTGGCCCACACGCACACATGCACGTGCCCAAGAAAAAATTAAAAACTTAAGGGGCCATGGCGTGAAATCTCATTACAATATCTAAATTGAAGGGTGTTTGATTTGCAGCCAGTGGCATCAACAATAAACACACTTGCAGGTGCACTGTACAAGGTGTTCAGTGCATCACCAGATCCAGCAAGGAAGGAAATGAGACAAGCATGTTTTGATTACTTGAGCCTTGGAGGTGTTTTCCCTGAGGGACCAGTGGCCTTATTGTCTGGTCTAAACCCTAAACCTTTGACTTTGGTTCTTCACTTCTTTGCCGTTGCCATCTTTGGTGTTGGACGCCTGCTCTTCCCTTTCCCTTCACCACAACGCATTTGGATCGGTGCTCGATTGATTCCAGTGAGTTTTTTCTTTCCACTTCCTTCTAATTATATACATACATGTTATTCCTTTGCTTCTATTTATCAGTCACCTTTACCATGTTTATTGAAATTACCAGAAGAAAATTCAAAACTCATTAATTAACTTTGTCTAAAAGTTTAATAAATTTTCAACTCCATCAGTACTTGTTAAATTTATACACACCCCCACATGGATTTTATATTATGTTATCTATTGATAAATTAATTTTTAGTGTATAATAATATTTTTTTTAATTCCTTGTTATATGTCAGGCAGCGTCAGGTATCATATTCCCCATAATCAAGGCTGAAGGAGTGAGACAAATGTTCTTCCCCGCAGTTGTGCCTGCGTATTATAGAGCACCTCCTGTTCAACCATAGAATGTCACATCACGCAATACCTAATAAGGTTATTGTATATTATGAAAAAAAAAACATTGTGGTGGTGTATTTTTGCCCCTAGTTTACAGGGAGATAAAACTGTAAAATTTTTAGGTAGAAAACAGTTTTTTTTTTGAATAATTTATGTTAAAAATGATGGTTAAATTATGCATAACTTACTACTCAAGTTCGGGTTATTTATAGATATTTAATCTTAGTAATCTTTAAAAGTTTACCACAAATTAAACCTTCTAATTTTTTATATTTTTGTAAATAATCTTCTTGTGAATATGCCAAAGGATTTATATGCCCGTGAGTAAATGCTTTTAAGGATCGAGGAGTTATTTATGCATAACGCAAAGTTTGAAGGAGTTACTTCTTCAATTAAAAAATATAATATATTTTTTAAGGAATTGAATATTTAAAAATATAAAGTACTTTTAGTATTTTAAGGCATAACTAATGTAATTTTTCCTAAAAATACCCTTAACAAATAGATTATTTAATACTTATTTTGAATAAAACACTCTATTAAATAAGAATAAATATAGAAAGAATATATAAGTGTTAGTTTGAAAATAATTAACTAGTTTATTAAGAGGTAATATTCAATAAAAAATGTCTTAATTATATTTTTGAATACATGCAAAAAGGAAAAAAAAAAGTTTAAGAGGTATTATATGAGAAGTGTTATGTGTACTGTGTATATATGATCAGTCAAATTGAATTTGAACCATCTATATCTTATTATTTTGGAATAAAATTTGAGATATTATTTTTATCTTGAATATATTGCAAAGTGAAACGATATGAATATTTCAAGTATGAATTTATATAAGAATAATAATTTAAACATGACATATATAAACATGAAAAATACTAATGTTGTGTTTGGAAGTAGCGGGAGATTTATTAGATTTGAATTTGAATTTAAGCTAAATCTATTATTTAAATTTATAAAAATTTATAAGATTGAATTTGATGCAGATCCAAATCTAAATTCATATTTTATTAACATTTTCTTTTAATTCTAAATATCTCATACACTTTAGCAATTTGAAATGTCATCCATTTTAACTATCTTGTTCTCTTCTTGAATATAAAATTGTTTGTTTGAGTTTATTCTACTCAAACAAAAATTTTAAATTTAAATTTATTAGTCCAAATGCTATCCTAACTTATTCAAATTAAATTTCAGCACCTACTCACTGTCATTTATAACTCTTCACAACTAACTACCTACCCCAGATCAATATGTTATAAATCAATCAACCTTGTGGAGGGAGGACAACGGCCTTGATGTTGATGAATTCAATGAATCAAACAGTACTTGATTTAAAATAAAAGTTTTACAAAGACTATCTATCTTTTTGCCTTTAGTCAAAATATAGTATAACTTAATATTTCTTCCATCTTAAATTATAAAATATTTTTATATAAAATTTTACACACCAATAAATTTCATTAAATATATTTAACAATTTTATTTTTTAAAAAAAAATATAAAATTTTAAAAATATTATTCATTTAATAACCTTAAATCTATACTTAATTAATATTAAGTATAGAGAGAGAAAAAGGTAATATTGAAATAAGCCTGTTTAATAAAATTTAATTTTTTAAAGTGTCTTATATTTAAGACGACAAATTTTCCTAAAAATCTTATAATTTGAGATGAAGGGAATACCACATACTACTTTGGTTGCCGAGGCCCCAAAAAAAAAAAAAAACAAAGTCAAAGAAGATTTCAAAACAAATATACTATAGTCACTAGATACACGAACTATTGAATCCTATAAAACACACAGGAGGAGAACAAGCTCTCATTTTCCCTCCCTCCCTCCCTCCCTCTGCGCGTGTGTTTTTTCCCCTCCTTTTTCTTTCATTCATATATCCAACAGTTCTGATTTTCATCATTTATATCAAAGTTTTCAACAGTTCTGATTTATCATTTTATAAAATGTTTCAATTATGTATTGATATTCTATTCTGATCTAAATATAAAATTATTATTACTATTTTAAATTATAATATATAAATAAATTTAAACTGTTAAAATGTGATTTCTCTTTAAAACTGAAAAATTTTATTAAAAATATTTTACAAAGTGATTTTTTTTTCAATTTTTTAACTATAGTTTTAAATTGTTCAGATAAACATTTAACAATTTGAACTTAATTATATATTTTATCTAAAATTATAATAATAATTGGAATGGAGAGGTTACTCTCTCATAAAATGCCAATACCAATACATATATTGGTTCATGATGGATTTAATTTGGTAAGTACCAAAAATTCCCCCACTCAATGAATGTCTCACATAGCATGAACCAAAGAGATTGGCTCTGCATAGTCGCTTTTGATTATCCCAGGCCTACTTCAAAGCCATGTTACACGCTTATAACTCATCACCCAAACTATGAATCACAATGGACACGAATTGCATAAAAGCTTCCAAGCAATTTCCTCTATGATCTCTCATGATGCTACCTTTAGCATCCACCATACATTTGCTGATCGCCTTAGCTTGAACAAGGAGAGTACTGACAGACGAGTTCCTGTTCTCAAACAATCTATCGTTTAATTAAATAAAATAAAACATAATTTTATGAACAAATTGAATATGAGATCCCAAAAATTTCCAATTCAATGTTAAACAAACGACATATGCCAAACGATATTAAGTTATGCCATCCTACAATTTCAAATCCAAATTCATCCTATAGAAATTTATGCAATTTCAACACATTTTCTTACACTTTTTGATGAGATTGTACATACTTTTGATATATATATATATATAATAAAAAAATCTGCATGTCTTATACTACTACAACTAAATTTCTTAGTGACATGTAGGAAATTTTCAAAACAGTATACTATACTTGGCATGAGAAAAAAGTAGAGGAAAAAGTACATTTTGCCTTACTTGGCAAAGGAAAGAAAAATGAGATGGAGAGGAAACTGAGGGAAAAATAACATGTTGGACCCACATTTTTCCTCCCAAACTTTTCTTTTCAAATATAGAGAAATTTTAGGAAGAAAACTTTACTTCCAAATTTATCCATGAATATTTTTTATTTCTCGCCTCCTACCTCCTTCCATTTACATCCTTAAAAAATTTTTATAATAATATGTTAAAATTTTAAGTTTTATTATATCTAACATTTTCTACAAATAACAAGGTTACTATTGTCCATATGAAATTAACAAATTTTTTGGTCTACTGGATTTTTCTTGGTCAGCCAAGTCTAATGAGAGAAAATTGCATCTCTTCATTTAATTTCCTCTTCTCTCTATTTTCTCTAGTTAATCAAGCACTACGTAAATTCCCTGTGTGTAACTATTAAATTCCTTTCGTCTAAGTATTAAATTTCCTATATGTGACTATTAAGCAAGGGGATCGGAATTATTTGTCTTGTGAGCATTTCAGTCATTACATTATTTTCTTCATTTCAGTTGAAGACCTTGGTCCTGTAAAATAATTTTCTAAATTTAAGGTCCATATCTAGAAATAACTTATCATTTTAGTCCTTGAGCATAATTACCCCCTGTCAGTTATAGATCGCACTTATAAATCTGTAAAATCTAAAATGATATGATATGATCAACGTAAATCAGTTTGAGGCGCATTTTGCGTTACTTAGTCAAAAGAAACATGATTCATATATTGAGATTTGAGATTTAAGGATTCAAAAAAAAAAAATTAATGACAATTTGCCCGATTCACATAGGCATTAGAGGATTCATAACCTTAAAAAGAAAAACTATAAATAAAATGTTATTGTTCATTCATAACCTCTATATAAGTACAATGTACTAAAAAACAAGTAAAGAACAGTGAACAAGAAATGTTGATCATTTTCATATGAGATTTTATCAGTATCAATTGGTTATACATCCCTTTCACTTTGCTCTATTTTGCTTCTCATCCTACTGACTAGTGTTCCCTCGTACTCCTGCGCTTCCCTTTCTCTGCGTAATAAGACAACGTAAGATTTCTACACCACGGTTCCCCGCAAATGTACAGATAATCCAAAAGGAAAATTACATTTAGAGGATTGAAAAGTGTGTAAATCACAAATAAGGACCTTGATAAGGAAAAAACATGCCCTCATTTGCCAATGACATTGCCACCATTACTACCGTTCTTGCCACCTTAATTGAATTCATAGGTACTAAGGTGTCAACAATTTAGTTGTCGGCAATACTATGCTTTGTAGTAGTTCTGAAAAAAGTGTTGACTAATACGTGAATAAGGATGAGTACCTTCAAATGTTTCCATTGATCCCTACTTACCGTAATTGAATTCAGAAGGGTTTCCTATTTTATGTTTTACTTGATCAGGCCAGACTAGAAATATTTTGTCATTTAATTGCTTGGGAGTATAAACTATGCCACCTAGAAATTAAATTGTTCTAAAACTTAATTATTATTCTAAACTGAATTCATGTCTACAAAGAACTTAAAACTAGATTAAAAACATTTCGCAAACCGCTTGAAATAACATTAATTAGATAGGTCATATATATGATGACCAATCGTGCATTTCAAAAAGAATCCGTGAGGTAGGATAAGCAACAGATAAGTTTGATCTTTAATGAATCAACATCCACACATTTTCATTACTAGCTCTATAAATAGAACCCATGCAAGCTCCCATTTCCACACCACAGCGTCACTTTTTCTATCACATTTCAATGCTCTCAGTAGTTTACTCAGCAACCAGCGATATTAATGGAGATTGCCTTGCGCGCTCTGTTTTTCCTTCCCTTTGTCTTCTCCACATAACACCAAACCCTAACCCTGGCTGAAGACGTGCTAGACACCAATGGCGACCCTGTTGTGAGTGGGAAGGCATATCACGTTCCGTACTCGACTAACACAATGTTTAGAATTGGACTGGATCAAATCGAAAGCACATATTGTTGCCCAGTTTTGTTGGTGGTGGGAATTAATCCCAAGCTTGTATTTCTTAGGGTTCCAGAGTCAGAAGAG